TTCTATTTTTTAGTAGAGACGGGATCTTACTCTTGCTCAGGCTGGTCTCGAACTCCTGAGCTCAAGCAATCCTCCCACTTTGGCCTCCCGGAGTGCTAGGATTACAGGCATGAGCCACCGCGCCCGGCCTTTCCTTTTACTTTATAAATTTATATTTTATCTTTGTTTTTTTTCTGCCAGTGACTGCAAGTGGGATGAGGAGGAAATTCAGTTTAAATGTGTTTGCTCACAGTGAAATAGATTTCATGTCAGTGCCACACAATCAGTATCTTGGTTTAGTACTTAAAAATTCATTTGGCCATGCCTTTTTCTGGTTTAATCTCACTTTAATTGTTTTTATCCTATCTGCCTTCAAAAGAAAATGTGATCAGAAGTAAGCCAGAAATTATCTTTTAAACATTCATATTTTTCTTCCTTTTTACATTAAATATACATTTACATTAAATATATATTTTCCTATCATATATACTATATTTTCTCTGAGCTCTGGCATATTAGCTTCCAAATTATTTCTGTTTTCCTTTTCCTGGATTCAACATAGACGTCGAAACTATATAAAACCCCAAGGAATGTGAAAAGTTAGGAATGCTCATATATTTAGCAACCCAAATCTACTGAGGTTGTTTATGAGAGCCATTTGGTCTGAGTAACATGTATGTATGACTAAGGTAAATGATAAGGTCAGAAAGAGTAAGTGAGGTAAAGTAGGGTAGGTTAAGTTAATGGATTTTAAAAATTAATCTGTAGTTCTAACTTCAGAAAATGTCAATGATTCAACATTCAAATCTACCTACCCTAATGTATCTTTTTACTGTATATATAAGTTTTACCTGCGAAAGAATGATTTTCCTGGTTGTGAATATGCGTTTTCAAGTCTTCTGGATCCAGTGTGTTAATTTTTTGTCATGCTAGATGCCTGTAGAGGATAAGGGCACTTTCCTAGGTGACAGAGTCTCACTTGAAGAAAGAGGTTATTTAACATATTAATCTTCATAGACCTGCAGTTGCTTGTAGGAAGATGATATCCATCTATCCAGTCAGTATATATTGAGTGTTTACGATATGCTCAGTATTTTGCTAAGGCATTTGGAACACAATGATGCATAAGAGGTCATCTCCACCTTCAAGAGTATTAGTCTCAAGGGAAAGACAGACTCAGAAACAGCTGATTATAAAATGTGAGAAGATTAGGATAAACTTCCTGAAAGAGGTGACTTCTCACCTAACTTCTGAAGTGTGAGCTGGACTTAGCCAGGCAAAGGTGGAAGGAGGGCAATCTGTTGGCAAACACTTGGAGATGAGAAACTACATGAAATAGTACTTGCTAAGGAGTAAATCACCAGGCAGGTTAGAATGATGAGCTATAGCTGGAATGCTCTCTCAGACGGGAACCCAGGACCGACAGTGAGGCTTATCTGGAAAAATCAGGGCTAGAATATGGTCATTTTTATATTTTTCTTTTTTCATGAAGTTAATTGGGTAAGTTTCCATGTAGTAGGTGATAGACTAGCACTACTGTTGAGACATACAGGTAGCTAGGAGGACTGAAAGAATGGTAAGGAGATGGTGATATGCCTACTCTTTGAGATGAATTTTTGTAATTCTGTGATTTTTTTTTTGTATGCCTGTGTATTTAGTTAAAAGAAAACTTTAAAAAATTATCCACTTATGTTGTAGTGCTAAAAAATATTTGTTTTGTTTTTTTCTCCAAATCAGAACTGGTATGTTTAACCCTATCACTATATATTCCTGGGGTCCTAGCATGATGGTGGTAGTAGGAATCAAAGTAAGAATCCCACAGGAAAAGGGGAGTCTGTGCAAAGGAATGAGTAGAGTCCACTTAATCACTTACCGTTGCCTATCTGGAAATTAATTTATTTACTAAATGTTTATTGAACACTTACTATATGCCAGGCATTCTTCTAGGCACCAGGGACAAGTGAGGAAGATGAACAATGTCTCAGTCTTCATGTATGCATTCTAATAGAAGATATA